TATATATATATATATATATATATATATATATACATAAATTAAATATAAATAAATGAATAAATAAATAATTGGTATCTACATAGGAACTTTTTTGCAGTTTTTAAGAAAATGGCCTCAAAGTTCCAACTTTTCAGGACCCACACACACAGATCAGCACTCAGTCTTGGACATACTCTTCAGGTAATTTCATTTTATGTATAAAAGTATCTAAAACCACAGTATAGTTGGGATAAATGAGGGCAATTCTGAAGTTTTATCTGTGTTTTGATAGAATGCAATGTAAACATTGTTTGGCTTACATACAAGCAAACACATTGCAATAATAAAAAATAAAACAAACTGCATTAGGCCAAAAATCAGGCCTCTGTGCTGGTCTTGTTTTAATAAATCCAAGTTGAAAATCACAAAATCAAGTCAGGTTTGCTATTTTGAAGGTTTAGAGTAACAAATATTTTAACTGTAGTTATTCTATTCTAGACAGGGCTTCATTTGTGCATGTTTTTTAAAGCTCATTTTCTAAAAGCATTAAATCTATGGCCGTACCACATTAGGTGCTTTCTTACTCAGCTGACGTGTATTTGCAATGAGACGGGTCTTCCCTGGCTCTGGTCCTTTTGTGCAAGATCCTGACGATCTTCTCTCCAGTGCAGATGATGCACTCTTCAAGCAACACAAGGCTGTTTTGTCTGGGCAGGTGCTGTGCAGTGCCCTCAACTGCAGCAGGTAAAAACCACCTGGCACTTTTTCACTGTGGTGTGGCCATGTAGAAGTCGACAGATGAAGTGTTTTTAGCACAATTTATGGCCCTTTCTATCATAGTCTTTATCAGTGAAGCACTTATAACACAACCCATGATGTACAAAGTCATAAACATGAGCTGATTCTCTGCATCGTTCAAAGAAGTCAGTGGCACGGTTTCTATTTACTCACACACTTAGATTTTATTTTATTTTTTTAATAAACTTCTCTCAGAAACCTTAACTAAAACATTTTTCGCTTCAGGAATAACGGAACACATTTAACAGGAACTGCCATAATATGAGCTATGATTATCGTATTTTTCGCTGTATAAGTCGCGTTTTTTGCATAATTTGCATGCCCTGCGACTTATAGGCCGAAGCGACTTATTTATGGATTTTTTACCCATGTTTAAATCAATTATTGGCTAGGGCATTTACAGAGTACTCGAGTAATCTACACATCGATTGCTAGGACATCTATTGAGGTTAAAATGTAACATTGAGTATCCGTAGTGATGTCATATTATGTGACCACCGTATGACTGTAGGGGGCGGTGTTGCACTGTTGCAGGTCACAGAGTATGGTGTAACACAGGGTCCAATCCACCGAACCAGAACCAGCTTCCTCTGACCTTGTTTCACAAACAAAAAGCAAAAAATATTAATCTTTAAACCTATAAAAAAAAATATATAAACATATTAATCTCTAAAGCTAAACTTAATACGCAGCTGGCGGTGGTGCATGTAATACGCAGCTGGCGGTGGTGCACGTCCGCCAGCGGGGGGGGGGTCCAGAGGTACGCTCATAATGGTCTCAATAAGTGACATCAGTGACAGAAAAACGAAGATCCAGAAGCTGTTGTCGGTCATACATGAGGAGTGAATTCATGCCACAGATAAAAAAACGAACAAAACAGAAATAATCCAAACACCATCACCAGATCCACCAGAGGTGGATTGCAAGCCATGCACACGGGCGCCTTCTTACCGGAATATATTCGTTCAACCCCTATTATTGGCTGAGATACGATCGTTTTCATTCATTCGGATTGAAAAAAAATGGAACACTTCCATTTTCAGCCACTAGATGGCACTCAATTCAATCAGTCTGAGTGTGTGTTGAAAGAGAGCTATATTGTGTGAACACCATCTGCTGGCTGATTCGTGAACTACAAGAAAGTTGCACACAGCCGGCCGGAGCAGACTGGGCACAGATTCTGAACAGTGGCTGCCCGTGGCTTAATAACCGTAGCGTCTTATTTATGTACAAAAATTATGATTTATCTTATATTTAATAAGTGCTGCTTAGACACAGGTGCATTCTAAAGTCCACAAATCACAGTAATTGTTTTTAAATGTTAATCTTGTTAAATTCTTGTTAAAGTCCTCCCGTGCAGGCTCCCGCGGCTGCCATTGGCAGCCCATCAATTTTTGGCACAACACTGGTCGACATTTCCGGGTTGTCAGCGGTGAAGCATAACAAACACAACGCATCAGCCGTGACGCATAACAGATATATATATA